AAGTTCTAGGTCTCCCACTAAAGCAGCTCTCACTCAGCATCCTGAAGCTGCTCTATCAACTTTATATTTCAAGGTAGCATTTTTCACATCCTATCAGAAACTGAAGGAAAATTGGAATTATTCAATAATATGCAGGATGTATGTGAAAATGTAGAATCAAGATGGAGGTAGAAACAAGGCAGTTGTGAGTAGGAGCTGAGCAGTTTCATGACTAGCTCTTTTGATCTCACTCCTCTGCAAGAGAGTACGTGAATCTGAATGTATCTGATTTCCAGATGCAATTGTTTACATACAAATTCTAGCCTTTCATCATTTGTGTGGAAAAGTACAGAACCCTCAGAAATTGTTAGGCAATAGAGGTTACAGAAATAATTTCTCTTCTTTTGAAAACTTTGACATTTATTTTCAAAATATTAAAAGTGGTGTTTATTATAGAAATTTTAGAAAATATAAAAATATAACAAAGACAATAAAAAACACTGGTAATCCTGTGTATGGGATAAAATGCCCATGAATGTCTTAGGTCAGAAAATGACTGTTGACTGTACCAAGTACAGAGTATGGTGTGTGGGCACACAGGGTGTACCCTCTGCACAACCCCTACCCTTAGGATCTTGATATAAACTAATCATCTGTATTGACAGCATCGATCACTGTCCACTCCCACACTCATGACAATCTTATGGATGTCACAGTAGGGTTTTCAGAGGCTGAATTTTAAGAGGTAGATCATTATCTGGCCTTTCTTCTAAGGTGCCTCTGGATAGTCTAACCATCAACCTTTCAGTTAGCAACAAGTGTGTCATTTGCTTGCACCAAACAGTAACTCTGTTCCAAGGAGAGGGCTTCCTTTTTCCCCAGAAAAGAACTGATGCATTTGAATTATGGCGCTGGCTATGAATATTCAAAGTACTGTGGAGAAATCAGAGGATGGTGAGACTTCACCTCACACACTTGGGACATATTATTAAGAGACCAGTCACTGGAAAAGGACCCGATGATTGGTAAACTACAGCTCAGTGAAAAGGATGTAACAATGGGCTTAAACATAGCAATTGAGAGGATGGTACAGGGCCAGGCAGGGTTTCCTTCTGGACACGGGGGAGTTGCTGTAAGTCGAGCTGAGTCGACAGTATCTAACAAGTTAACTCCAGGAGGAGTCTTGGTGGCGCAGTGGTTTAAGCACTTAGATGTGAATCTAAAGGTCAGCAGTTTGAACCCGCCAGCACACCATGGGAGAAAGAAACGTGAGGCTGAAGGAGCCAACCAGGAAACCTCTGAAAATGGAAAAACAAAAACAAGGAGAGTCCAATCTCTGATGAAGCTGGAGGAAAAAAAGCTAAGTTTGATGAATGTTTATCTGTTTTTATCGGTGGACCCTGTTGTCTCCCTTCTTGAACAATCCAGAGGAATATTTTTTTCATTAACTGTTTTGTAAATGCAAGTTTCTTAGTAGCTCTAGAAACTTTTTCAAGGCACAAATTCCACTTCATTCTGTTGTTTAAAGTGTAAATGAATTTTTAAAAATGTGAAATCATTTACTGGTTATTTATTATTTGGTACGACCAGAAAATAGTGGGATGTTGAATTGTGGGAAGATTTGACTGTTTTGAGTGCCAACACAGTATTCCATGGGATGGTGTTTTTATATCACTAATACAAAATGTTTAATAGCAATTTGGAGCTACTGTCATGCATTTGTATTACTTGAACGTTTAAAATTTTGTTTCCATGTTAAGTAGATTTGTGTCTAAAAGCCATTTTTCATCATGGCTTTCTTGTCAGAACTGTGTGCATTCTGCAACTTGATCTTTGGTCATGGTAGTCCAGTTTTCCTGATAACTTTGTCATACGCTGTGAAGGGTTGAACATTTGAGTGTGTAGTGTGTGACAATAAATTGTGAATTAGTGGGACTTATGATTTAATACCTTATCAACATTTCAAGATAATGGTACTTGATAAACTCTTTTAAAAAACTGCCTCCAAATTTAAAGCTGAATAAGCACTGGAATTTTTACTGGAAATTTTACATGCTACTTTAGGATTTTGGCATGTGCATAAGAATTGTGTACAAATTGTTCATGTCTCTGTACTGATCCTAAAACAACAAGACGCCAATTAAAAAAGAAATTTTTGAAAAGCCGGAGAAACTATTGCAATTGGAAATTAATAGCACATAGAAAATGCAAGGAGCATTTATATATATACAAGAGATTAGGTTCATACAGTGAGAAGGAATATAACAGCTAATTAGTCCACACAACAGTACAGAGGACTCAGTTCAACTCACTTTCGTGGAACAGTTAATATATTGGAAGTCCTTCAACTGACCTGGGCTGCCATGTCCAAGGTCAAGAGCAGACAACAGAGTCCTCTCTCGGTCAAGGCAGGCAGTCTGCCCACGGGCAGCAAGCAGCAGGGTAGGTCATCAACAGTCAGTGTCTTGGGAGCTTAGCAAAGCGGGGCAGGATGGGATATCAAACTCGAGCGAACTCGAGCCAAGCAAAGCGACAAGATCCACCAGCCTCAAGTTCAAGCGACATATGCAGCAGCAGCAAGGTTGAGGCAGAGAACTAGCTAAAGCAGCCACATGCTAGTCCTATGACCAGAGAGGGGCAGGCCTCGATGAGCCATTTATCTCTTTGCCTTCCAAACTGTGACTTGATTAATCCCACATGTCCCCATTGGCCAGGTTGGTACAATAGACCCACCTATCACTTTAGATTAATGGTTTCTTTGGGGGTATGACGTTGGGGGAAAATGTGGAGTTAATAAGGAGTATAATGAAGATGAAAAATGTTCTAAAATTGATTGTGGTTATGGATTATACAATTCTTGATAATGATTGAATTAATGAATTATATGTTATGTGGATTATGTACCAATAAAACTGCTTAGGAAAAACATGTTTAATTCTTTGAAACTTGAATTTTATACTAGTAAAATGTAGTACTCTCCATACACAAACAGAGAATGCTGTAATCCAGTGATTATCAAATTCAAGTACCAGGCTAGGACCCATTGAAATTAGACAAAGAGCCACAATTTCACAAATTCTATTTCATTGGACCATCATATGGCTCTCAGCGATCCCTGTTGGTATAAGTGGGCTGGTTACATGATGGGCTTACACATTTTGCAAGGTCTGTAATTTGAAACCACAAGCCAATCCTCCAAAGATGAGGCTTTCTACTCCCGCAGTTAGTCTCAGAAACTAAAGAGCGGCTCTACAGGGTTACTGAGTCACCACTGACTGATGACAGTGAGTCTGGCTCAGTTTCGGAGAGTATGGCTCAAACATCAGTAAAATATCCCATTGAGTCTGAAACATAATTTGGTGTTGGAACAGTTGCTTTAATCACGTCATTCAAATCCAAAATGAACCCAAAATCCAAGAATAATCTAAAGTGTCCAATGATAGAATAAAATAAAAATCCAAAGACAGAGGATAACCCAGAAAATCCAAATCCAGCATTCTCACTGACCTCAATTTAAGTGATACAAGCCACTCACCTTTCTATTAAGAACTAAAAGTATGACTGAGACTAAAGTGACTTATAAATAATTTAGTATTGATACATAAATATTCTGCATTATTCAGTAGGCTCATTCTACTTGAATGTACATTGTAGTAATATACATACACACATACATATATATACATACCAGGAAGTACCCCTCCACAAAAAAACTAATTTTTTTCCCCAAAGCTAGGTATTTACATTTTTTTTACAAACCAATCTTATCATCTTCAAACTACTCCCTATTACACTTAATACATTTGTCAAATCCACGATTCCATTCTTGGAAACATGTTTGGATGGCTGACAGCACATTTTTTTCACTTCTTCTACGGCCTCAAATGGCTCTTTTCATGTCCCTCTTCATTTGCAAAAACAAAAAGAAATAGCACAGAGTGAAATCAGGTAAGGTGCATGGGGCAAGAGAGGCAGGCTGTTTTTGCCAAAAACTGGCGCAATGAGATAGCTGCATGTGGAAGTGCATTGTGATGGTGGCAAAACCAGTCCTGTCTGCCACATATCAGGTCTTTTGGTCACACACTGTTATGCAATCTTTTCAGAACCTCTAAATAGAAAGCTTGATTAACAGTCTGACCTGATGGAATGAACTACAAATGCACTACGAGTCAACATTTTCACCATTTGACATACATAGAGAACAAGTTTTCTTTTCACAACCACTCATACACTTGAGTTTTTCCCATAGCATTGTCCTTGTAAGCTGTGTTCACCATCACAATAGAGGTGCCATTTTTCCCAGAGCAGGAAACAAAATTTCACAGCCACATGCTGTCATTTTAAATTACATCACCAAAAAACGAGGTTTGAGTGAAACTTTTAAAAAAAATTTAGTGACCAGAGAGAACTTTCCCTGGTGATGCCACAGGGTGCACTAACTCAGAGCAAGTTGCTCCATGCTCTCCTAGCGGGAGGCAAAATGTGTACTACAAAAGCTCTACTCTGCCCAGCACAATTCCGTTTTTTTGAGGGCACTCCCTCGTATAGAACAGTTTTTAGGTAATAGTCAAACCAACCAGTTGGAGTCAACCTATATGAAATTTCTGGAAATTCATAATCAGAAAGCAGAATAAAAGAGAGAGGGGTATTACTGTTAAATGGCTATATATTTTCTGTTTGAGGTGATAGAAAAGTATTGGGCATCACGGTGATGGCTACACAGTATTGTGAGAAAAATTAATGCTACTTTAGTGTACATTTAAAAATATAAAAATACACAAACGGCAACATTTATTGTATATATTTTTTACCACAAGCACACACATAACATTCTTGATCTGAAGCACTATGTTCACTAGCATCCATTTATTATTGTTTTATATCTCATATATATGAGCTATATTCTATGTATCAGATGTTACATAAAAATATAATTTAAAAAAGTTAAAGCAGCAGAACAATGAGTTTAGAATTTGGTCTTGACATTTAAAAATAAGACAGAAATAAAAGAATTCTAAACATTCTCAGCAGTATGTTTTTATTATTATTCATGAATGGACAAAACACTTACAAAGGCTTGTTATTACTACAACCATTCCCATGAAATGTCACTGCAACATGGAGTGAAAAGGACAGTTTTATAGATATAGATATATGTTTTAAAAATACAACACATACACACTCTCTCTCAAGGGCTCACCCATACACTAAAAGCAAGCAGGCGACATCAAGCTGTATAAGTTCAAATATACATAACATCTCGAAACATCTCAAGCATTAAAAACTGCACATAAGTTGCAAAAATAAAGTTTCTTTCTTTAAACATTTTGATTTGAGCTCAAGCAAAAGCAATAATGAATACCAGTGATTTTCACACTCAATACATTTTAAAACAATAAACATAAAAGGGCCAACAGTTGCAAAAATCCTGAAAATGTAGAGGTTATGGGCACGAATAATGCAATTCACCTACCCCTCACCCCAAAGTCTACAGCAGATCTGTTTCATCATGGCTCTCAAGTAATTAAGAATCATAATTTACTATATCCAACAGCACATCATTCGGCTGGAACAAACAAAAAAGATAAAGAGAAACATTATGACTTCAAACAGAGCATCATGGCTCCTTAGTTTAATCCCACTAGTGCAAGAGCCTTATTTACCTGAAAGATCATTAAATGTCACAATTAAAGAGCACGGATACAAAACTAGTTCCTTTTGCGATAAAAAGTGCCACGCCACACACTGTACTTTTCATTAAAAAACACGTGCGCGCGCGCACACACACGCACACACAAACTAATGAAAGACCGTTTGTCTCCATCTCTTGTCAATGAGGAATGGCCAGAGTGAATCCTTGATTCCAATTCGAAATGGAGTGCGCTGACCAATGCCCAGGGTCTCCAATCTCGAGCAGTCAAGCTGAGCATTTCTTGGACGCTGGGCTCCTAAGACTGGACTGTCAGTAATCTTTAAAGAAAAGTCAAAATAAAACATTAGAAGTAGATGATGGGCCATGTCTTAAGGTTTTATATTTTATACAATGTCCTTTGTATACGGACTCTGATTTGATCAAACCTAGAGAAATTAATATAGGACCAGCTACAATCAAAACAGTACTTTTCTACTAACTTCAAATTCATGGATTCCTTTTTTCAAAATAATCCTAAGAAAAGTAGTGCTATAAAGTGTTAACATACAGGCAGAGTTCATTTTAATCAGTATTGGAAATGAAGTTATCTACCATGTCCAGAGCAAGAAGAACAATACTATCAATAGTAAACACTGTCCTGATACAGCTGAACTTCCAAAACACAAGGTGACTGACTGAATGCCATGTACTCACAGGTCTCAAGTGGCTGGTAGGGAGGTTGAAGGCATCTGCAATTGCACATGCCATCTCATACTTGGTCATCTGCTCGTTTCCTGACCAGTGAAAGGTGCCTTTAATTGTTGGGTCCTAAAAACATGGACAGAAAACATTTCAAATTAATTTCAGTGATCTGAATTGAATGAAGTGGTATGTTTGACAAGATGATGAGTTATAAAGGCCCAGGAATTAAACTCTACCCCTCCTTTTTTGGAAAGCTCTCAAGATACCTACAATTAAATTTCTATAGATGTTCCTGGCTAAACTATAAAAGCAAAATCTAGAATTAGTTTCAAGGCTCTGTTTAAGATGAAAATAAAAGCAGCTCAAATCTCATTTAATTGGAGAGAATCCTAATGAGAGTTTTATGGAAAGACTTTGATTTAATGAGTATTTCTAATTCTCTAAAGTAAAAACTAAGCCTTAATAGAATCATTTTCAAGATGATCTCTTCAGAACATTCTTAAGTATTATAATTGTATACATTTTAATATATAAAAAGTGTGGTCATACTAATCTTAATATTCTGACCCAAATCAGGCTCTCATCTTATATTCTATTTAAATAGTTTCAAATATTTAAAATTAACTGCTAGTCAAATATCTTAGAAGACAAGCCAACAAAAAACAAATTATTTTTAAAGTGACTAAAAATACAAATTCTTATTAAGTTTATCTTTGGTGCTACATATATTTCAATCTTAAAAGACACTAGGTGATTATTTTGTTATCCAAAGAAACGGCAGATCTTCTCAGCCATCTTGCAAGAAACAATAGGTGGGGTTTACTGTTTGAGAAATAAATTCAAACACAAAAGCACCATTAGTCTTCATTTAGCAATTTAAATAAAACACCATAATGTCCACTCATTGACTCTCAAAGTAGAGCTATAAAAATTTAAGTTGGAAAGAGAAGCAAGATATTTAAAAAGCAGATTTTAGGAATCTTGTTTTCAATGATTCTTACCAGCATCCTCTTCTCTGCTAACTGACGGCACACAGAAGCTACGTCCTTGACATGGGTGGGAAACCTCTGCTGCCAGTGGTCCATGTTTGCTGACTTGTTGCTGAACTGCACTTTATCAAACATAATAGTCACAGCACTTTCTTCAAGCTTTTCTACTTCTCCATAGAGAACAGGAATTCTCAAAACAGCAGCTCCTAGAGAAGAATAAAAGCAGACTGTTTTGAAACTACTTTGATGCAAGACCAAAATGTATGGCTTTAAACATTAAAATAGGAAACACGCATTTGATAAAAAACATACCAAAATGACATAGCTTGTCTGTAATAATTCATCTTAACAAATGTGATCAAGGATGCTTTTTAACGTCTACTGTCATTTAGGGCATTTATATAGTCATATATATATTGCATATATATTTAATATCATTATATATATTTATAAAATATTATGGTCATTAAAAATAAAACATGGCAATGGAACACCCTGAGTGATCCTTAGGTGGATACGAGATTCAAAATTAAAAAGCAATAAAAGGCATTGTAACAATTAGAAAAATTCCAACATGGACTATATAGTTTATTGTAATAGATTATAAATTCAATTATGTGCATTAATGTTAGATTCCCTTAATGTGCTAATTAGGTTATAATTATGTAGCATGGTTCTGGTTTCAAATACAACTAATTTTCACTGGGTTCAGTAAATGTTTATAAAATGAAACAAAACACATTAGTAATTGGTGTATCTGTGTGAAAGGTGTGTGGGAATTAACCCCATTATTCACACAACTACTGATTATACAACACTGAGCTCTTTCAATTCTATATAGGTCTCTGTTGGTGGGTTATAATACTCTTTAGATCTCACTGGAAGCGAGCCACTGCCAACTCATGCTGACCCGTGTGTTCACAAAGCTTCATTGGTTTTTGGTAGTTTGGGTTTTTTGGGGAGGGGGAGGTGGGGAGAAACTGTTGGGGGAGAGCAGGGAAAGGAAGAGGGCTATGAACATTTTCAACATTAATTAAAGGTCTTTCTTCTAGGTAAGTTTAAACTGACCACCCTTCATTTGCAGTTGAGCACAAACTGTGCCACCCAGGAACTAGTCTTTGGATAAGTTACTTTTTAATTGAAAATCCATAAACATTTTCTTTAAAAATTAAACTAACTTACTAGACAATTATATTCAGATATATATTCAAGGGTGAATCCTAAAGGATAATAAACTGAAAAACTACCCATTAACAGGGGATTTTATCTTAGAGGATGTTTCTCAAAGCATAGTTTTAATACAGGGGAGCTATTAAGTATTATGCAGCCATTCGTCAAGATAAGATATCTTAGAGATCCATGTACTGAAATCCAAAGATGTTGGGGGAGGGGGGAGACACAACAAAACAAAAATCACTTTATAAATTAAAATCTTAAAAGGGAAAAAGCAGTTGCTGCTGAGTCATTTCCCAATCATGACACAAACGCACACACAAAGGACAGTGACGTGTTTTAACACAGTAACAACAAGCAGTGCATGTTTTCTGTGAGAGCGCACCACTTAGACCGAGGCATCACCCCTTTGCGACAGTGGAGAGTAGCAGCTCGTGACAGTCTCGGCCTGTGTAGGTTCGTTCACGTGGGGATTTCGGCTCTACTGTAAGGAGCCCTGCTGGTGGAGTTGTTAAGGACTTGGGCTGTGATCCAATGGTTGAAGTTTGAAATCACCAGCAGAAAGACTGGGCTTTCTACTCCCATAAAGAGTTACAGTCTCAGAGAAACCCACAGGGGGGTTGCTAAGAGTCAGCACTGACACAGTGGCAGTGAGTGTTGTTTTGTTTTGAATTGAGCAAAGTTGCAAGCACTGAGTTTCCAAGATCAACACTTTACAGGAGTAAAAAGCCTCATCTTTCTCCCAGAGCAGCTGATCGTTTTTTTAACTGCTAACCTTCCAGTTAGCCACCCAATAAATAACTATGCCGCCAGGGTTCATTTGATGCACATTAACAGAATACCAAGTGCTAAGGAAAATGACAATATACTATACAATTTGAAAATAGATTATAAACGTTTGTACTAAATGATTTGTTTTCTGTAAAACAAAGATGTCAATATTGATGTAGGAAAGTCTGAAAGGATCCAGACCATAGTTACGTTTTAGAACTTCTAGGATTCTTTTTTTTCTTTTCTTTAGTCTCTATCTTTACTCCAGTGATTTATGTTAAGTAATTTTTCAAATAAAAAAATATACATCCTAAACATAAAGAGGATATTTTCAACATTAATTAAAGGCTAAAAAGATTATATCATACCTAAATTGTTCTCCAGGACAGCCTTTTCTCCTTCTAATTTTGTTTTGCCATACAAATTTAGCGGATTTGCTATGTCTTCTTCTCTATAAGGCGGATTTGTTCCATCAAATACATAATCTGAGCTAATATAGATTAGAAATGCTCCAATTATAGCTAAAGAGACAAAAAAAATCTATTAGATTATTCATTGACATTACTGTTTAAGGGGTTTATTCTCTATGACACACACACACACAAAATGAAGCCTCTCATAAGCATTGTATAAAAGCTAAATCTTAAAAAACAATGTGATTTTCAATATGTTATAATGGTTTCATATAGTCATCATTACCTGCTTCCTTTGCTAAGTTCCCAGAAGCATCCACATTAAGTTGAACAGCAGCATCTGGCTGATTTTCTACAACATCTGGCCGTCTCTCTGCTGCACAATGTACTATGACATGGGGCTGAAAGTTAAGCAAGGATCCATTTTTAACCCAAAAAGGAGTAAAACAGTAGCTACAGCACAAAGTAAACTCAGAGAAAAATATTTGTTAAATCACTATTCCCTCAACTAAGAAATAAATCAATTTCCTTTTTAATGTAATTGGATTTTGCTTCTTTGCGAGGCTCAATCTTCTTGAAAAACATATGGGTCCATAAAATGAAAGAGCAATTTAGTAATCCCTACCAAGAAGGCTGTTTGTGCCAACAATGGTATTTCTACATCAAAACAAGCTTCATACCCTAATATAGATGTGAAAAAGGAACTATAATTTATATAATTAATTTGGCCTAAACTATTTAGTACATTTGTGTTAAAAGGAGAGTAATAATAACTATGTGTTAGTTCATAAATTCAATTCTGACAAAATCTTTAAAGAAAATCAACTATACATGAAAATTGTATTCCCTTTGAGCATTTGTATAGCATCTGTGGTAGGACCTGTAAAAGCAAGGACCTCATTAAAAAGGTAAAATACAGCTAAAGAGGCTGTTTCAATAGAATGTGACAGAAATTAAACTGGAGGCTGTAGAGCAGGGCTTAGAACTGTTCACTGCAGCTGGATCTTGCTGTTGAAAATTTACTTTTCAAACCCAGATATATTGAGTCAGAATCTACATGCTCAAAATGATTTGTATAGACCTCCTGATGTGATCTTAACTACTTGGCAATCTAGTTAAAATATAAATTCTGGTTCAACCTCTCTGGGATAGTAAGGCAAATTCTCAGCATAGAGTCTGGCCTGTAGGAACGGTTTCAAAGCCCCACTGCAGAGGGTCCCTTGTAGAGATGGAGCACCTAATTCCTACAGGTTCTGAGCCACCAAGCTATGATTTGAAATGAACATAGAAGAACAGGGCTAGTGTTCTCACATCTCCAACCCTCCCCTTCTAAACAATGCATGAAGAAGGCCTGACAGTGGTTTTCAACGTGAATGTGCCTCATCTGGGGTGCTTCCAAATGCTGAGTCCTGAGCCCCACCACGGAATTACTGAATTAAAATCTCTAGGAGTGAGGCCTGAGCAGTTGTTCCTCAAGTGGCTGATGCAGGTGCTCCCTGGCCCATGCTTAGAGAGAAGCACTGCAGACTTGATCAGAGATAGATCAGAACCCAAATCACCTTCATCATGTTCTGTTGCTTAGCCTCTGAGCCTGCCTGCTTTCTCAGCTCTCAATGGCAATGATGACACCTAGTCTGCGGTGTGCAAGGTTTAGAGTTAAAAGCCAAAGAGTAATTTCATAGAAAGTGCTATTTAGAAGGTATTCCCCCAATATTAACTTTTAATAATATGCTTAATCTTTCAGTCATTTTCAACCTCTCAACCTAATCATTTTTATCAGGTAAATTGAGATATAATTAGCATCATACAATTCAACAGTTCAATCATATAAGAAGGGTTATGCATTCTTTATCACAATCAACTTTTGAATATTTTCTTCCTTCTTGTATCCAATGCTATTGGCTCCCCATTTCCATCCACACCCTCCCACCCCTGGAGTTTCCCCACGTAATTATTAATGTCCTTAGTGCCTTTGTAAATCCTGATTTCCCTAATACACACACACACAGAGGGGCAGGTGGAGGGAGACGCCGGGCAGTGTAAGATAAGATATAATAATAATTTTTAAATTATTAAGGGTTCATGGGGGAGGGGGAGGGGGAAGGGAGGGGAGGAAAAGGGAAATGAGCGGATTCCGGGAACCCAAGAGGAAAGCTAATTTTGGGAATGATGAGGGCAACAAAGGTATAGGTGTGCTTTACACAACTGATCTATGTATTGTGATGAATTGTATGAGCCCCAATAAAATGATTAAATTAAAAATAAAATAAAATAAAATAAAATACCATTTTTGTCCATTGCCCTGAAAAAACAACAACAACAACAACAAAAACTTCATTAAAAAAGAATAAATTCAAAATGGGTCAAAAGGGAGATCCAATGACAAAGTGTTTCATTCCAGCCTAATTACAGATGCTAAAATCCATTTTAGAATGCTCTGTCTGATACTAAGACTATTCACATTCCTAGACTATGGTTAGTGGGAGCCCCCAGAGACTCAATCCATGTACAAATGGATTTGGGGCTTCCACTATCAACAATCTAGTCATTTTAAGAATTGTATACATTAGTACGTTGCCAACCCTAAAAAGAGCAATATATGAGAGTACTTCAAAAGTTCATGGAGTTAAAAATAATGGATTTTTCCCATGAACTTTTAAGTACAGCAACTTGCTTGAATGTACCGTATATACTTGAGTATAAGCTGAGTTTTTCAGCACATTTTTTAATGCAATTTTGTGGTAAAATTAGGTGCCTCAGCTGATATGTGGGTTGGCTTATATTCCAATATATATGGTAGCTAATAAATGTTTTGTGTTAAAATGCACACACTATAAACCATACCTGAAAATCATGAATGATGTGATGAACTGCATCAGAATCCAACAGATTAACCTGTTCAAATTTTGGTCTTGCTCTTCGAAAGCCACAGCCAACAGCATGCCAATTATTCTGCTGAAATTCTTTGTACACGGCTCTGCCAAGAAGCCCAGTGGCACCAGTAATCAGAACCCGCCTATTGGGGATGTTAACTTCCTCCTAACAGGGGAAGGGAGGGAGAAGAGATTAATTGCTTTGAATATAAGTTTCTCTAAATTAGTCACCATCATTGTTTACTAAATGCTTCAGGTCTACGCAGGTGATTCAGGTTTAAAAGCCAATTCTTAAATTAGAACAAAGATCAATCAAGTTTTGTTGACAGCTGCTATCACTCAAGAAAAATCTTAATATATCTTATAATAAAAAGAGCAATTTATAGATTTTATTTCATAATGCTATTTGCAAGGCACTGCCATAATTGGATAAATCAAATTCCATGTTAATAATGAAAGAATCGTTAATTATGACCAATGATGCCCAAACGACCAATAAACACCAATTTCAATGATTTTTGTCAGTTTAGAAAAATATACAACTAATGTTGCTTATTTTACAGCCTAATTATACATTTGGACTTTACATGGTTGTTAAAAAGTATTGCTACTAGAAGTGCAGCTCATACTTGCATGGACTATATTAAAAATAGCACACGATTTGACATGATCGCTACCATGAGTGGGGTGGCAGCTCAGTCATACACTTGTCTAGCTAGGGTTAAAAAAAAAAAAGGCCAATCAAACAGCTTGAGGGGTATGCTGGACCAATTAAATTCAAGGCAGAGCGGTCCATTTGGAGGACTACAAAAAAACTCAACTCACTGCTATGGCATGGATTCTGTCTAGGAGCAGCCCTATAGGCTGAATATAATTGCCCTGGTGGGTTTCTAATTCTAAGACTGTAAACGCTTACTAAAGTAGAAAGTCTAATCTTTCTCCCAAGGAGCTGCGGGGTGGTTTAGAACTGCTGACCTTGTGGTTAGCAGCCCAATGCCTAACACCCCCGCTTTGGCATCAGAAGTCTGTCTTGTGAAACACCAATGCAATGACCTTGATAAAGTTTCATGAAGAACACAGGACAATTATGGAGACTTTTGAAAAACGTTTTAATGAAAACTGCATTAGTGAGAACAAAACCATGAAGGTTGTACATAGGAATTTTCCTCCTCATCAGATGTTAACAATGTAGTTGCTCATTCTTTAAAATGTAGCAAAGGCTGTTCGGTAAGAATTTCCCTGGGAAATCTTATCCCACCTATCTCAGCACCCTGATCTTTCTCCTTCAGACTTCTCATGTTCCCTAAACTCACAGAACATTTAGAAGGAACATGATTTGAGTTGATCAAGAACGCCCAAATTCCCGTTTCGATGATGGAAATTGAAGAGCACAGAATTATTCTAGGAAAGAATGGAGGGATGGAAACACCACCTTCAAAAGTACATACACACCTAGATGAAGGGCATCTTGATAATAACAGCTGCACACTCTGATATTTTGTTTAATAAGGATCTCTGTGATTTTATAAGCAATACTTTTTGACTTATGCTTGTATTTTGTGGTATGTTTTACACATCAGGCATGTCTGGGCTTCAAGTTTTTAATTCCAGATTCTATTTAAAACTTCAGCAATTTATTTGCCAAATATTGATGGGCCCAAGTTACAGAATTAGTCAGCAATTCACAAGACGTTTGAAAAATGTAAATTTAGTATTTACAACACTAATATGCGTCCTAAGATTAACCAACTGGTAAACAGATTCCTGCATTAAATTCTAGATTTACCTATGTCAAAAGGTTAACATGAAGAAATATAGAGGGTTCAAAAGAAAACACTGAAATGGTTTAAATTGGTTCACGCTGCTGTTGAAAGTTTTTTTTTAAATCTTTAAGTGCAGAAGTAAAAGACAACTATTATTTGGAAACAATATAAATTTTATGTTTCCAAGGCAGAATTCCAAAGTATCCCCTTCTTGCTAGGAGGGGACCATCAAGTTTCCTCCTGGATGTTTGAACATAGTCAAATTTATTTTTTTTAAAACCCCAAACAAGTGAGGTCTTTCAGTGTTCAATACTTCCAGTGTTCTTAGTCACTAATTATGGGTTGCTTTGCGTAAACCACCTAAAGGTTCTCTGAGCTCAGGTTGTTAGGTGCTGTCCTCTCATCTTAACTCGTTGTGGTTCGATGTGCAACAGAATGAAACAATACTGTGTCATTGTTTCAGTCACCCGTCAATTCATTTATTTAGTTCAACAGGATTACTTGCCCGATGAAACATTAAAAAAAAAAATCAAAGTCAGGTTATTTCCATTGGAGGAAAAACCTGAAATAAACAACAGTATAGAGGTAAATTCCTAAAGATAGTTTTCCTTACTTCAACTAATTTCAAGAAACTTTAAAAGAAGAAGGAAAATTAATCTGGACTTGACTCTTAGCCAATTGATCTAAGAAAACAACAATTTCAGCCAACAAAATAAGCTTAATTTTGGCAAGAAAACAGCTCTACATGGACTGAATTGTAAAGAAGAGAAAACATGCCAAGTCTAGTAGATATAATCAGAAAAACAATTTACATGAAATTAAACTGTGTAGAATCCTGGGAAAATACATTAAAATATACACGATTTGATTTCTTACTTTTTACGTCACTCTCAAGAAGAAAATGAATAGGTAAGTTTTTAGATTGGTGGATCTCAAAGTGAATCATCCGAGCTTTAAGATTCAGGAGGTGAGGAGTCCTCAGTCTGCTAACAGGTACAAGAGTGATCGATACTGATGATGGTGATTTGGAGGCTGCAGTCTGAAATCAAATCTCAAGGCCTGATAAACATCCTTTTCTCTAATTCATACAGAGCAAACAATTACCTATGTTCCTGGTGATGGTAGCGTTCCCTCTAAAATGAGAAAGTGGGCATAAAAGCCGAAGGAAAAAGCATCCTGCAATCCAGATAGTTTACTATCGTGGCTACCTCGTGCTGCTTTAACAAGTATCAGTGAATAACTTCAGTAAATAGAAATTTATGTTCTCACAGTTTAGAAAAGTATAAGTTCAAATTCTGGGTGCCATCAACAGGCTTTCTCAGGCAACTCTAGGAGAAGGTCCTTATAATCCATCTTTCTCTGGGCCTAGGAGGTTCACAACACATGGTCTCTTGCTCCAAAGGAGCGACACTCCTGGCTCTTCTGTCTTGGTGGTCTGGGATCCCTCTGATCTCTGATTGCCAGTCTAATCTCACATCTCAAGAGACTGACTCGAAACGAACCTAGTCCACTAGGCCTCCAGTTGACGGGATAGCTAAGTCAACTAGCCCAAGATGGTTTACAAAGACAACGTTCTACAGTGGTTGCGCAGCACCTGGGATTTTAAAAGTTAGCAAGTAGCCATCGAACATATAATTAATGGTATCATCCCATTCGAAGGAAAGAAGGGTGAAGAAAAGCAAAGATTCAAGAAAACAGTAAGTCCATTAAGGCTATCGCACAGGGCACGTGAACCACATACAGCCTTCAACACTTGGAGATCAGAAGGTCTAGCTACCTCCTCTACAGGCCACTGTTTGGATTAGAACCACTGGAGGTACTGGTCAGCCTGCGAGAAAAATGTAGAACAAATTCTAAACCATTTATTTATTTTTTTTTTCTAAATCATTTAAAAAGAAAAACCAGAGTTGGTGGTCTGTCCGGATTAGTGGAACTCGTGAGTCTGTGACCCTTACCCTTCAAACCTGAAATTGAATCCACTGCCCAAGATCAGGTAAACAACAGATAGGCCTATAAACGAAACAATCACTAGTGAGGAACATACCTGCTTTGAAATCCATCAGGAGACCAACCAGGCAGCATTTGCTGTGCATAAACAAAGTTCAGAAAGAAAAAAGGGCCAGAAAAAGAACAAATGGAAACAAAGGGACCCCAAAACAAAACGTGCAGAAAGCTGTAAAATGAAAAACGACAAAGTTTTACCCAAACTACAATAAAAACAAAAAGATGCACCCATTAAGGTGATTGAAGGTATAGAATTTCCCTAAAGCATTACTCATTCAGGTGCTTAAGGTCAAGGAACACATTTTAATCTCTGTGACCTTGGCACTACCAATAATATCTACCTATCCCCTCCAGTCAACAAGTGTTCACTTATTGTCTGCCAAGTGTTAAGACAGTGTGCTGAAAGTGTGAGCAGCAGTGAGCAAGTCTCACATGGCCCCTGCCTGTTGAAATGTTCTCAGGACCAGTGGAGGTGGTTGTTAGGGGCCGAGTTGGTTTCAAGCCACAGCAGCCCTATCCACAACAAAAAGAACCATCACAGTGTCTGGGCCATCCTCACGTTTCTTCCCACGCTGAGCCCATTGTTGCAGTCCCTATGTCAATCCATCCTGTGAAGGGCCTCCTCTTTACCCAGGCACGATGTCCTTCTCCAGGGACTGGAGGACAGTCCTAACAATATATCCAAAGTATGGTGGGTGGGTGGATATAGTATACTCCTGTGGATTGCATCCTGCCTCATTAACTAACTGCCTCTAATCCTGTTTCATTAACATTCTAGAGGTGATTTATAATACACAGAATAATTTATCAAATTGCAAAATGGAAGAGAATGCCTTAATACTGAGATAATGGCCCAGCTCAGCAAGTAGACACAATCAGTTCACAACAGTTAATAAACAGTGAATTAAGATCTCAGTGTTATTGTATCTATTCTGTTTCACAGTTTTCCCAGATTTTAACATCTCTGTTAAATGAAACGGATTATTTATTACAGATGCTGTTGTTTACCAGTGGTTTTTGATTTGCACTTTTAGTGCTTCTTAAAATAAGAACCATAAAACCTTATAATTAAGAGTGTCTTAGATCTGACATGCAATATTAAGGGAAAAACAAGGCATTTTGTGGGGGTGGGGGTGTTGGGTTGCATGGAGAGTATGCCACCATTTACCTGGAGTAATATATAAGGTCCCTGGAGGAAAATTTGAAACTGGTACCCAGTGATCAGATGTCAGTACTGAAGGATTTTCTATATTTAAAGAGTATGAATCTGAAATGCAAGAATTTACTAAAGCAGAATGATATGGAAAATCTTATCATTGAAAACCATCAAGTGTTATATAAACTGTTTTTTTAATATACTATGCCTTTTGATCACACCAACAGTCTTGTTTGACATGTG